GGAGCAGTGGCCCCGCCCCCGCGATTCCGCCCCCCACTTCCGCCTTCGCCGGGGGACGGGGCCGGCGCCTGCGCACACGGCCCCTGGTAGGCACGTGGGAGAGAGGGGTGTGTGTGATGCGTGTCGACGCGGTGCGGGGATCTATCCGTATTCACACGCGCGGTATGGGTGCACGCATGCGCCTCTCTATACGTGCGGATGCCTTCACAGCGATGCAGCTCTGTGCATATACCCAGAGGCACAGGCAGCTGTGGCACCTGTCCAAAAGGAGCCTCCTTCTGCCCTCTTCTGTTCCAGAAAGGAAGAGGAGGGTTTTGGGGGAAAAGGCCCATCAAAGGCTTCCCTCAGGCTGCTGAGATTTCGGATTGCCTCTGCTTGGCTGCGGCACTGGAGCCCAGGTGGCTGCCGGCTTCCCTAAAGGAAGGGAAGGTGAGGAAGCGCGACGTATGCATTTTCAACAAGCAAAAGAGCAGGGATTCATGGCAAACGCTCCCGTGAAAATGCCATAAACCAGGGACCTGTGCTTCTCGAGGCTTAGCTTTTTAATAGGGATTTTTTAGGCAGGCCTTAGCTACTGAAAAATAATCAAAAAATATTTGGAGTAAGCCCCCAGTTTCTGGCTCCAGGGTCCCAGTTTCCTTACCTGAAATGGGCAGCTTTGGTCCAGGCAGGATAACAAGTCAAGCTTTATGTCATCTCATAGGAAAAGAGAATTGTAAAGCTCGTTGCTTCCTAGAAATGCAATTCTGGGGCTACGGGCATGCTAAAGTTCTTGCAACTTCGGTGTCTTCTTCCAAAAGCCGCAGGCGTAGGTCTGCCACAGGGCACCGCAAGGAGGCAGGAGCTCTACAGAGCTCTCTCAGTCAGGGAGACTATCAGGGTGAGTTTCCTTAAGGCTGCGTTAAAGGGGTTTCAGATCATGTTTGCTTTTTATTTTTGCCATGGGTGCATTAAATGTGCTTATCACATAGCTAACTGCACGCTTCTTTTTGCGCAAAGTGAAAGACAGAAGCACGCATTTTTTCTAAAAAATATAAACCCAGTGTACAAGTGCGGCATGTAGGACATTTAATGGCACAGCTGCTAGTTAAAGTAAATCAACTCATCATCTCTAATTAATAATTTTTAGTTTGAATCTAGTGTGAACGCACTTACCAAACCACAGGGTGTACAAAAACAAGATGGGGCAATAGTGGTTGCTTTCTGCTACACACTGTTTCAGCAGTGAGCAGCAGCAGCAATTTGTAATAATCACAGAATAGCTGGGGTTGGAAGGTATCTCTCCTCCAACCCCCTGCTGAAGCAGGGTCACTTCAAGCCGGTTGCCCAGGACCATGTCCAGTCAGGTTTTGAATACCTCCAGGGACGGAGACACCACAACCTCTCGGGGCAACCTGGGCCCAGTGTCCAACCACTCTCAGAGGAAAGTGGTGCCTTTTTTTTATTTTATTTTATTTTAAACAAACAAGCTATCCGGAGGGGACTTCCTGTATTTCAATTTGCACCTATTGCCTCTCGTCCTGTCACTGGGTACCACTGAGAAGAGTCTGGCTCCATCTTTACATCTAATCATCATTTGCCCTTTGATGTGTTTAATTCCCCCCCTGACCCTAGGCATCTAAAATGATGCAGAGAAGAGGAACCTGTGCTTGTAGATGGTTACAAAACAATCGTATCTCAGCTGTTAAATAAAAAATGATCCAAAAATCCTCTCTCTTTTCCAGTGCAGGCAATGCTACCAGCACAAATAAGCAGATATAATACCAAGTTTGAACCCAGAGAAGACTTGAGTCACCACAACCTTACATTTGCAAACACACACTAGCAGCCAGGAGTTTAGAATTTGAATATCCTTTTATTTACAAAATTTAAATATACATGTCAGAACATAGCATAGCCACAAAGATCTAAATATGATGACACCCACACTGCCATGATATGCTGATGGGAAAGGCCCTGCTCTGTGGAATGACAACACAGTTCCAAAGCTAACTGCACCAGACAGGGGTTTGAGCTGCAACAACAGCATTGAGCTGCCAAAGAACAGGGTCGAGAGCAACACAGGGACACCATAGGCTGACTAAAGTCAACTTGAGAACAGTTAAATAAAAATGGTCTTGTAACTGTCCAAAGGTAAGACTGATCTGTTCTTTTTCTCCCCACACTCCACTGTCGAGTTTCCAGTTACATGTCCCATTTCCCCCCCCCCCTGAATTGAATGAGTTACCAACCACTCCTCTGAAGCCATTTCACATGCGACTTGCTCCACAGCTCAACGTGTTATACCGATAACTCTTCCTTCAGCATTAACAGGAGTCACACATGCACTCAAGTGCAGCCAGTCAACAGGCCCAGTTAAACGTCTAGAAACAACTGCCCAAAAGCTGGAGAGGGAGAGTATCCAGGGAAAAGGACCCTAACACAACTGCACGCACGCTCCTGAGCGTTAGCAAGGGTTTCAAAGGAACCGTTAGGAACATTTGTATGTTTAACAATATCTTTCTTCCACAAACATTTCCCATGGACCTTTTTGCCAAGACAAAGATGCTTTCCAATACAGACCAGATAGCTCACCAAAATATAACAAATTCAGCAGCTCTCATATTCTCATTGAATAACACCCTCTCAAGAGAGCAGTAGTTAGACAAAAGGAAACCCCCGCTTTCTTCAAAAATCCTCCAAGCCAACTTCTGCCCCTGTCACCCACCAATAAACCACCACTTCTTTCTGAGCAACTTCAGTCAAGACTTGGCCCTAAGCCAGGAAGTCAACATCTCAGGAACTGTTTCACATGCAAGAAATCCAGCAGCAACGGCAATGAGAGCTCTGTCCTTGGACTCAGTCTGAGCCACGCCCCATGGCAGTCCACTGTGCTAACAAGAGAGTTAAGGGATTCTCCTCTCTTCCGCAGAAACCATGCGGCATTAGCACCTGGAGACTCAGCTGGACTGTTCCCACTCTTTCAGCCACCTGCATCAAGAGGAGAAAGACAGGGTGACGTTACAGACGGGCAAACAAGCACAGGGGCATTCCATGGCAATATGCTTCCTTTACTTCTGTTTAGTGTGTGTCCTTACCTCCCTAAAGTTGTGTTTCAGAGATGAGCCAACCTCAGTAACGTTTCTTTTTCCCCCATTTATATTGTCAGGATTGCTTCCCACCCCAATAATTTTTCTTCTTCCTTCCTAATAGCACTAAGCTATTGCATCACTTGAATTCAAGTGCCAAAAACACTCATGTGGGTTAAGAGCCAGTGCATCTGTACACAAGACTAAAAATAGATTTCAGAGCAGACAGTTGCTCCATCTCCTCAAAAAGGAGGACACATACAGGAGCCCAAAATATAAAACTACAACGCACAATTTGCACTCGCACATTAACAGTACTCCTATGGCATACAAACAGCTATCTGTAGCAAAACATTTAAAAACAGCTCCAGTGAAACCAGGTAAGGCCAAAGGGAAGCTGAAGTGCCTGGTGGTCTCTGTGGCCACAGTGAGAGTCACCTCGGGGCATGTAGGTGATCACATCCAAGCCAGAGCATTGAGTACAGCCCATCCATGCATGACGCAGAGCTCCAACGGAGCCAGTGAGATTTTGGAGCACTGCCTCTGAGGACCCTTCCAAAACACCTTGCCTCCTTCCACTGCTCCTCCGTTATCCTCTCTAACTTCTGCTCCCTCTGCAAGGCGCTGTTCTTCTGTCCAGCCTCAGTGAGCTGAGCAAGATGGGTGCTTATGAGAGTACAAATCCTCTCAAAGCAAAGCACTGCAGTTCTCACTTTCAAGACAAATTAGAGAAACTCCCAGCACATGCAACCGACTGCCAAGTAGATGCTCAGCTATTACAGCAACAAGAGAACAATACCCCAACAGAAGAAACTCAGCCTTTTCTATGACTTTTCTTTCAGACAAAACCACCTACAGAACCACATTTCTTTTCATGGGCAAAGTTAGAGTCTATTAAAAAAAAAAAAAATCACATTTAAGACTGCCTGCCTAAAACAACCTAGAATATAGGATATAATTCTAAGTGAAAGTCCAGAGTGGTAGACTTCAAACTTCACACTTCAATCTTAAGACATCTATTACAGTCATGACTTCTCCAAAGCCTCCTTCTCTCCCAGACCCCTACGTCATGCTTGGAGAGCACTGAGCTACCAACAGCTAAACTAATACATTTTAATGGAGTAAAATTGCATGATATAGTTATTAAAAGTCTTCCATGAGTTAAACTTAACAGGTCCCCAAAGTGCTTTTCTCTCTTTTGCAAGTCCATTTTCTGTGGTGCACTTAAAAGTGCTGTGCATATAACCCATTCCTTCACCCCTCACATGCAGCCAGCCGGTTTTCCTTCTTTGTCACTCCATTAGCTTCCTCAGCCTCCAAATCCATGAGGTGATTAATCCCAACATCAATGCCCAGCACCTCAGCTCGGGAAAACCATTTACTCGCCCTGCAATGTGCCATGGCGCATTTCAGAATCAGGGAAGAGTTCCGTGCTGCCCTCTAAAAAAAACCTGTCCTAGCCAGGTATCCGTGACCCAGAGTGTGAAGCATAAAAGAACACTCCCAGCGCAACTCCCAACTAGCATGAGCGTTCATCAAATGATCCATTTGAAAGACACTAGAAGGCTAAGCTGCATAAATTAAAGCCTACGTTTTAGAGGCAGGTGTAATCCCATTCTCCTTCAGGTTAATGCTCGACTCTGGGGAAGCTGGCTTCTGATGCATCGGATATCAAGGTCCCCGATAGCTGTAAATTGGGTAGGAAGAACAAGGAGAGGGTCAGTTCCAAGTGTAGTAATAGAGACAATCGGAAATTGTCCTCTGGGCACGTGCAATGCCAGCAAGCAACAAATCTGTTCTCTGGTGAAATCAGACTTCAAAACCCCATATTTTGTTCAACACAGTCTGCCAAATCTCAACTGGAAGCAATGCAGCCATACTAGCAACGCAGAGAATTGCACAGCTCTCCAACTCTAGAAAATCAAGTTTTCTTCTGCCTTGATTCAGCCTCCTGAAATCGCAACAACTCATGCTGCAAGATTCGCAGAGAGAATCTTGCATATGGCTAATCCCAGCGATATAAATGTACCCCTGAGTATCATCTAGGGCCTTTCTTTCCCCCAGCAAGGGGCGTCACAGGCCTTTCAACAGGTTTTCTACAGATAGTATGGCAGAACCCTAGGCAAGTCCTGCTTCTGTTAAGAGCCAGGCTGGAAATTTGTAGGTCACACTATTCAAGCACACTTTGAAGTCCTGAATCAAAAGGACAAGGAGCAGCACAAAATACTGTTTTGCTTTGTTACCTGCTGTGAAGCCAGACTTGCGTTATGGAGGTCAATAGCAGCGAGGGAAGGAATACGGGACTCTGAAACTGTTTTGTTCTCCTTTTTGAGAAATCTGGGATTCCATGCTACAAAACGCAACCAAAGCATACGACGTTAAAGAAGCAAACGCCGATTGTTGTAACGCACACCCTTTCCTGCCACTTACTTAGGATCCAGGTTTTATTTAGAGCACCTTAAAGCTCATACCTTCCACTCCTCTCAGTTCAGGGAGATGATTTAGTTCTGGCAAATGCACATCTGTCTTGGAGAATTCCCATTTTTTTTTATTTGCCTGAAGGAATGTTTTTTCATTAGAAACCTACAATCAGGTGAAAGATAAATACCAGGTCACATACATATAGAAAAATGAAGTTACCGTTGAGCTTTAACCTTAAAACGTATAAGCATCACAAGACACCATTTAGCTGGACTTTGCACCAGAACGGGAGTATAGTACAAGACTCTCTAATGGGTTTAAAGGAATCCATTCTGATCAAATGTAATCTACACATTAAAAACAGAACAGCCAAAAAAACCAACCAACCAAACAGACCAAAGAACAGGCATTTAAATGAGACCGCTTTCAAAGAGACAAAATATCGCTGGAGAACGGCTTAGGCTAGTTCTCTTTAAGAAGGCAAGCATTCCTACCAACACAGATGGAATATTGTCTAGGCAGTGGGTGCAACGCACAGCTTTACACTTCACTTGTTTTCATGAACAGTTTTAGCTAATTAGGGCCCTGCCTATATGTCCACTCTTCCTGGCCTGGCAGGATGCTATGGATATATGCCATGTCTCATGGGTATTACATGCTGGGCCGCTCCCTTCATTAAAAACTGCCCTCTGACACAAAATATATTTCATGCAAGATGACTATTAGGAAAGGATCACGGATGACACAACTATAGGGAAAAAGGGGCAAAGAACATCATATTTCTAGTGGGGATTTATGGTGAAGGCCGCAACAGAAGGGATTCTTGACAAATAAAGCAAACGCTTAAGTTAAGAATTTATTTTTGCTTTGCCAAGGGGGAAAGAAAGACAGCTTACCGATGTTAAGCTTACACTGTAATGGCCTGCTGGAGAATGTTTTCCGTGCTTCAGAAATGGGTTCAAGTATTTTTTACTCTTTTCCTCAGCTCTGTAATCAAAAATGCCCCAACTGCATTGTATGAACTTGGGTAACATAGTGAATATAAAAATAGCAATGAACTCAAGCCATGCAAAAAAACCTGTCATTAAATGCTAAGAGAGAGGAGGCCCACAAGTAAAATATCCTCCAGGAGCCTGGTTAACAGAGAAGTTCAAGTCTCAAAGGACAGACCATGAATCAAAGAAAGGCCACTACCAGAGCAGTCAGAAAACTGTTACCATCCAGGAGTGCTCTGCCACACACAGAAACACAGAGAGCCTTTGGCTGCGTGGACACTCAGAGCTGCTTGAGGTGGAGCCGAGCTTTGACCCGTATGCAACCCTGCACCCAAAAGCTGCTCCTAACCACACCCTGTCCCAAACCTACACATCGCCCTCCCACATCATCACCCTGCATCTCTCTCAGCACATCACAATTCTCTAGCAATAAGAAAGATGGATGCAGGCTCTTCTAGCTCAGCTCCCATACCTGTAGTTATGGTTCCCAGGAATGGACCCCATCCCAGCATTCATACTCCTACTGGCAGTTGTAGCAGAAAGGTTCTGGATGATGGGAGGAATAACTATGCCTGCGCTCTTGGCATAGTCCAAGCTGCTGGTGGAATCTTTCAGACTGGTTTGAGGGCCTATTTTAAAAGGGTTGATTGCGCTGTCATAGAGGGAGCTCACGTTGGAGGGTCGCTCTGCCTTCTCTGCATCTGCTTTAGAGCGCTTCACCTTGAATAGCTTTGCGTCTCTGCTCTTTGGGTCAATGTTGAAATCCTGCTTGGAAAAACAAGCATCATGTTTTTCTTACAGTAATGTTTAAAAAGTAGCTTACAGCAGTGCATGCATGAAGGGGGAAAGGGGAGGGAGGGGAGCAAGACCCTAAACCCGCGTGATTCTACAAGAATCTGATGGAGATGTAAATGTTTCAACCAAAAGCTGTTTCCCATTGACTAGCAGGAGACTTGTCAGGGTTCTGACATCCTCTGGAAATAAGTCATCTTACAACAGGGTAAGGAAGTGATGAAAGAAGAACAGCCACATCCCATGTCACTTCCAAAGAAACGAAATGAGAACTGAGCCATGTCACCTCAAGGTCACTCTGAAGCCTCTCATCATAGATGATTGAAAGAAAAATATGCAACTTTGGGACAGGGCTTTAACACAGGTGAACAGCAGCATACAATCATGTTCTGCTCATTCAGTTGACTTGCACTTTCTAATTGATTCTCCTTCCAGCTCAATATTTGCCAGTAACGGCATCAGAACGTATTCTACTGGCAAGGGACTGGCCAAATAGCCACCTGCAGATTGTCAAGCCAAGCATCAGAGCAACTTCTAGCAGCCACACACTCCAGATCCAAGGTGCAGAATTTCTACATGCAGCCTGCAAGCTGTATTGCGCTGAGCATCAGAGCTGTGGGGGCACAGGCCTAACATATTGCCTTGAACTGAAGAGCAAGGCCTTCAGCACCGTTTAGACTCACAGTGGCCTACAAAGGTCAGCTTCTCTGGCACATTACGTTCGTTAGTGTTTTTTAACTAATGAAATGGAAAATTATTCATATACCTTTGTTATGCAATTAAGTATGCAGCACATACTTATAGAGTGATTTTAAGAGATGAAAAATACAGTTATAGAAAAGAAAGACTGACTAACCTGGATAGCAAGCATTTTTCTTTCTTCTCCTAAACAATCATCTTTCTCCTTTTTGCCGATTTTTGATTTTTTTTGTAATTGGTGGTCTCTGGCATCTTTCTGAATCTTTAATTTAAGCTCCTCAGCAAATCTACACTCCGTATTATGAGAAAAGAAGATTAATGACTTCTGTTAATCAAAAATCAGTGGGTGTTCAGCCCAAGGTGTTGTTATAGCTTTTGAAGTAATCAAACTATGCCTTTTTAAGTAAAGAAAAGCCAACCAACCAAATGGAACATATCCATTAAAAACTTTACAAGCACTCGTTTCACATCACAGCAATAAAGGTTGTTGCACTCAAATCTGGTGTAGATGTAGACACTAAATATAGCATAAGATTTTATTTTCCAGTACGCTGTGACACTGGGCACACACTGATGAATTAGTGTCATGACCAGGTAATCTGGTAAATATGGCGCCGCAATGTGTTCTTTTTCTGCTGTTCTCCCATTTTCAATTAGGCTAAAACTAAACCAAATCAAGACTTGCAGCAACTATCAGCCCTGCAAACCCAGCATGGCTTCTTCAAGCACAATTGCTTCATTTCCTTCTCGTATTGGCCTCTTCTGAGCAAGAAAAACTGTTTTACCTTTCAGCAAATCCATCCTTGTTAAAGAAATCACACTGCAAGAGTTCAGCACAGGATGGTCTTTTGTCCGGGTCAATCTGCAAACACTTCTGGCAAATACATTGAAAATAAAACAAAGCTTTTAGTATCTCCAGATGAAGTCAAGAAGTAAGCTGCTAAACTCCCACTTCTAGGGCCTGTTACACTGAGATGAGATGTGACGACTGAACTCCAAAGAAAAACTTCAATATTTGCTGGTTGCGTCCATTCTAATCACTAGTGCTTACTAAGGCTCCTTCCACAGGGAATACCTGTCACGCAAACAGAACACCCTGCTCTCAGTATATCTCCCTTATTTTCTCCTACATTTGCTTCGTTAAAACTTTATAATCTGCTTAGCTCATTAGGCACTTCAAATACTGCCAAGTGGCTTTGGTTTATTTTAGTTGTCCAATATACCTGTGCTCCAGATTAACATGCAAAAGCACAAAAATATTCACTAGAAGGATTCTTCAGAATCAGTTATGAAGCTTTAGGCTTCCTAACTCACACATAGACACACAGATCCAAAAAGCAAGGTTGGGGCATGTTCAGATCTAATCCCACCCAGACCTACCTGCTTGCAGTGCTTCCCTGAGTAGGTGGAGAGAGGGTTGGCAGATAATATTGCATCAGTACAGCTATGCTAGCCAGGGAAAAGTAAGTGGCTGTGTATCATCTCCAAAGTGTAAAGTTACATAGCAGAAGAGGGGTGAAACTTGTTGGCAGACCATTCACAGGTCCACTGGGGATGGGGGAGTATGGGAGAAGCTTTGGACACACAACTCTTCTTTATTCTTCAGATACCTTGACAGAACTCCGAAAATTTAATCAGTGGGGCATTGTATGCTATGAGTCATCCTCAGCAGGTTTGCAGAGCCTCTTTTGGCTCCAGAGATGACCAGCTAGTCTCCCCATCACCCAGGATGGTGGCTGTCACATCCTTGCAGTTCTCCAGCTGCCAACCCAAGCAATTGCTTGTTGCACAGATAGTTGAGAAAAAGCTAGTTTAACAGTGCCAACCCCTTTTGAAAATTGCAGTCATTTCCCTGAGGAAATAAACAAGTCAGAGAAACAGAGAAACGCTAATTCTAAACTATAGGCAAAACCTCTCCAAGAAGTCAGAGAACTTCCAAAAGGATCAGCTAAATACCTTTGCTAGATCTAGCGCTGCAGCAGAAAGCTTGGGATATCGTCTGTCCAGAGGTTTGATGTCCTTCACTTCAGGCAACCTCACGCCAGCAAAGAGGGGATTTTTATAGAACAGCTCTTGGTGTCTTGGAATTAAATTACCTGGAATCACACAAACAAAGCAACCACATGGAGGAAACGTAGAACAGCCCTGCTGAACATTCAAGAGGCTGAAATACTGAGCCAGCACTGGAGCAAGGACTAAATTCTGGGTCTTTAACCTTCCACATGTGCACTGTGAATGGAGACTGTACTTGCAAGCTCCTAGTTCCCCCTTTGTAAAAAGCGCTAAGGATTCACACTCTTAGAAACTGTTCATCATGCACCATTGCCTTTCTCCCCACTCTCCTCCCCCAATCAAAACTTATTTGACCACTTAATTCATGGCCAGGCACTAGGAGCCTGACAAGGTGTTCTCACCCAGGCACTTGGTGATATGATAGAGCTGGTCAATGTCAGAATCTCCGGGGAACAGCGGCTCTCCTGTAAGCATTTCTGTTACCAGACAGCCAATTGCCCATACGTCCACAGCCCTGGAAGAAAAACATCCCAGCTCAGAGGTGCTGGCAAACCTTGCTCAGCACAGCTTCGAGCTAAGCTAGGCCAGCACCAGCAAGCCTTCTGCAGGTTACAAGTCCCAACGACAGCTTGGGCCCCACAAACAGCAAGACAGCTGCTTTCGAAGTTTAAAAGCGCTCCAGTACATGGCAAGGATCCAGCTTTCGAAGCAGGCAGACACTGGCAAAAACCTGACAGATAAAAATTCAGGTTCCAAATACCAATACTTTATAAATTGTGATACAATAGAACACAATAGTAGGATTTTGCCCTTTAGCGAGCATAAGGGTAAGCAGCTCCTCTTTCTGCAGGCATTTTGCTCTTGGGGTACACTTACTGAAAATGAACTTTATGTAACACGGGGACATATATAAACCTGCACAGTCATATAAACAGAACTGTGAAAGGCACAGTGAGTTCTGACCTGGTTTTGCAGCACTAGGACTCCCACTAAGAAAAATCCTATTCATCCCACCTCCTCTCTCCTGAAATGTCTGTCTAGGATTCAGAGGGGCTTTTCCACCTTCCTTCCTTCCACTTTCCACCTTCTCTCCTGTGTGTCAGGAGAGAAGTCTATCATAGCCTTCTCCAATGCTAGTTAGCATTAGCATCCAGACAACTCCTATAGGCAACACGAATGGCTCAGCAGTCTCGCTCTCCTCTTGTTTTGATCTGGAAAAGCCTAGCTCTGGCAGTAATGAGCTCCAGGGTGGCAGAGGGAAGACTAAAACTTTGCAAGCAGCAATGCAGGGAATGCAAAACAGCATCCCGTTAACCTGTTTGCCAATAAGTGACCTGCCTTCCTGTAAAGTACCCCCCAGCCAACCCCGTAACTCTTCCACAGCCTCGCCTGCCAGTCTCTTACTTGCCGTATTTGATGTCTCCCACCAGCAGCTCTGGAGCTCTGTACCATCGAGTTGCCACGTAGTCCGTATAAGCTTCCCCAGAAGCTCCTAATGCGCGGGCAAATCCAAAGTCACACAATTTTACAACTCCAGACTGGGAGACTAAAATGTTCTCTGGCTTAATGTCCCGATGTATTACCTGCACAAAGAAAAGCAAGTTAGGAGGAATAATTCACTATTTCTATAGGGTAAACCAACTGGCTCACCAAAAACAGTAGTTTTCTCACATGCAGGTAGAAATTACACTTTTGCAGGCGTGGGAAACACACGGAGTTTGTAAAATACAGCTATGTACACACAGACAGTGAACAAGTGCAGACCCAAGAGCATGTGTGAACACAAACCCTCCAGTTTCTGCACACAGTAGTGTTTACTTTGTGTACCTCTCTGCCTATTTTCTGCATGTATATTTTCCATAGATATTCTACAGATACAGTTTATTACGCTTGGAAAATCTGACTTTTACCATAGGTTTAAAAGATATATAGATATTACATATAAACATACAAGTATGTGTATTAGACACACAAATATATATATTATTTGTAATTGTGTATGTCAATTGCAAGGATCATTCTGAGCTCTCTCAAGGTCATGGGCCTATGGTTAAACACAAAGAGTATTTAAAGAATTCATAACACAGTGACCGTTTCCCAAATATAAAAAGACTACGATTAAATTGGCAAACTTGTGTTAGAAATAAGTAGCGGAAAACAAAAACTTAACCACGATGAAGAGAAAAAGCAAGTATTCATGCTTACATAGCCATTGTGACAGGAGCAAACTTTTGGAAGAGAGAAACAATCTCTCAGCGCAACATAAAAGCCAGCCTCCAACGAGGTGACGCCTTTTTCTGATCCGCATGGATTTCTGGACCCTCACTTGGAAGCACGCTCACAAATCAGTCAGGGATAAACTACTGGATTAGCTGACCTCATGCTCTGACATTTTATGTGAAATACAGTCAGGCCTTCCGCCCTGCTTCCACATTCCTTTTCAGCCAAAGCTTGCTTTCTCTAAGTTTTAATAAATATGATACACATCTCTGCATCACTGATACACATCTCTGCATCTATTTACTCAAGGTTTTCCTAACTACAGAGCTAAGTTCTCATGCACACTTACATTGTGACTGTGGCAAAACGCTATTCCTCTTATAATCTGAAATAAGTATTTCCGAACCCTGCTGTAGTCTAGTCCATTTGGAAACGCCTCAAGGTCATCGAGCACTGTGTGATCCACAAATTCAAAGACCAGATACCACCGTTTCTTCTTTTTACACACTTCCAGTAGGTTCACGAGATTCTCATGCCTGAGTTGCTGTTATAAAATAGAAAATATTTTGTGAGGGCATGACAAGATTTAACAGGATAAACTAAGAGATGATAAACTAAGACGAAACACTTTCAGCTGCATCACAGCTGGTGTATTTCCCTGGATTGCTCTTCTCGACATGGCACCCCATTCTTTTATACTTAAAATTAGCTCTCTGACTTTTTGGATTAGGTTTGCTTTTGCCAAGGCACTCTATTGCAGCCTAGAGGATTACCACCACCCCAAACATGCAGGTAGCTATCTATTTTTGTAACCTAAAAACAAATCAAATACTGACTCAGGGCATTTGTTGCACTCTTCATAGGGATGCTCAAAATGCTCTGTTCTGTTCTGGGAAACACCTCATGCGTTCTGCTCCTCACAATACTCTCTGCACAGAAGAGGTATCACTTACTCAAGCCCGCATCTTGACAAAACTTTACAGCAAGCTTACGGCCCATACAAGAGAAATTGTGGGGAAGCTAAAAAAGATCCCCTGGGGATAACATGTGAGAAGGAGCAGCACCTAATAATAGGACCTCCCACAAAAACTGCCATGGCAAGGAAGAAGCCAGAGGTCCTGACTCAACCAGAAGGACAAAGCCAGATCACAACTTTCCAGGTTGTGCTGGAAAGTGCAGTACACTGCCAAGCATATCCCTGACCACTGTGAGAACAGAACAGGGACCAGGACCGCCGAGACTCCTGGCTAGATCCATGGTTTCATTTACAAACAGCCCAAGCACTGTGAAACACAGCTTGTTCCCGTAACACTGGGTTGTACCTGGGACTCAAGCTTCTTGAGGAGATATGCTCATAAAGATGACCAAGATGACTACAGTGACTGTGTCTGTCCCCTCAGAGCAGAGCCCAAGCAGCACTGGCAGCTCCTCCTCTTCCAGAGGGCACAGCATTCAAAGCAGTAAAAGGACTGCTGAAGGCAGCTGCCATTGGCTTCTTTCAAAATACCTCCTGGTCCCTTCCCCAACACCCCAAAGCAGAGTCGTCTCTTTTCTCTCATGTTCCCAAGAAGTTTTAGTCTTCTGTATCATTCCTTTCTCTAGGGCCTCTTTTGGGAAAATCGGAGAGCCCCATTCAAAACAAAACCAACACAACTGCAACACCTCTGTTCTACCAAGCTGCCAGTTCATCACCAGCTATTTCACATCCACATCTTCATTTGTCTGAGGTGGCTCTTGGAAGACTTCTCTTTGAAGCTCCTACAACACTCAAAGCATTTCTGCTGGCCTTACCAGCTTAGAAGCTTTTACAGTAACTAACATGGGCCAGAATACAAGAACACCCAACAGATAAAAGGGAAGGTCAGCATTCTTGCCCAAAAGGCTCCGTTAACAATTAAACAGCTTCCATTAAACTGCAGCCAGTGCATTCAGAGAGAAAAGTGATAAGTGACAAGCCAAGGATTTAAAGAGTTTGATTTTTTCCCTCCTTATGTACAGGAATAAATTAGGAGGATTTTGAGGAAAAAAAAGAAAGAGCGTGTCTTAAATGAAAATAAAGCAGCTGTATTTCCTGGTTAGTTTGTCATCACATTCTAACCAGACCAGATTACATCTTCAGTCTCTTGCATGCTTGTAACACTGGTTTATAACGCAAAACTTCAACAAAACAAACCCCACTACAAAGAGAGGTTAGTTATTAGCTTGGAGTCAGGCAGGAAAATAGCACTGGAGGCTGCCCAAAGGCAAGCACCACAACTCAGGGATGGAAGAAGATTATTTCAGAACATAGCATGACCAAGGAAGATGCAGAAAGACCACAGAGCACAGGGACTCATAGGGAAAACGCCCTCCCATTCTCTAAGTTGCCCCAGCCACCCTGCAGCACAAGACCTGGCAGGCAGCAGAACCAAAGACGCAGACTTCTCCTATGAAGGAGGTCTGGAAAACAAAGATTTTGAAAAAGATGATCAATTAGAAGTGCACAGCAGGGAACACAGATTTTGTTAACTCAGTCGTCGCAGTGCAGCCCTTGAATTTGCTTGTCACCTGTTCATACCTCATGGGCCAGTGTCTCTGGGAAAGCTTTCAGCTGCACAGGAGGCAGAGTCGGGGTCACCTAAAGGGGAGAGGTAAACGGGGGGAAGGGGGGGGGGGGCTCCAGGGGCAGGAGGCTGCACACTGGAGAAACACAGGCCTGACATGCTGAGCTGCAGCTACCCAGGCTCTGCCTTCCCTGGCCAGCATCACCAGACAAATTCAAGTGTTTCCCAACACCAAGGCTTAGACTCAAGCCACTGTGACAGCAACTACCATCACCCACTACAGACGCTTCTCCACATTGCTGTCCCCGGCACTGGAGGTGTGGCAGGACAGTGCCAGCTTCAGTAGGAGCAAACAGCAGCTGCGATGCTGAGAGCTGGCAAGCAGTTCTGATCTAAGACAGCAATAAAACGTAGACTTGGTGGAGCAAATTGATAATGAGAGAATAGGGAGCAACAGCAGCTCCCAACCTGGGCCTTGATAACAACCAGCCCCACTAAGGCCTCTGTGACTGCAATCATGGCACAGGCACAGGGGTGGCTGGGCTAGGCAGGACTGCTCCAGAGGTGGTCAGCAGGCAGCTGCTACAGATTCTGCCCTAACTCTTCACACAGGGCTTCAGAAGCAAAGTCAACTCACTCCTCTTTTTCAGCTCTTTCCTCAAGAAGAACTTCTTCCCAGCCAGGACACCTGAGAGATTTTAAGTTTTTCAGCTAAGATGACATTTCTACCCATGCACCTGACCAGCAAAAAGAGATCACGTTCTAGTCACAGGAAGCACACAGGTGGGGAAACTACAAGAAGATTCAATCTCTAGGCATTTAGTTTCACTGGGAGAAGCCACCTTTACTGAGCTATATATGGAAGTGTTCCCCTTGACAAACTCCCATTTACCCAGGAACACAAGTTCATTTCCAACAGACCTTGCAGGTGCTACGTGCTTTGACTCAGTAACTAAGCAAAGCTTGCCAGCAGGCCAGCTGCAAGCCATACTCCCAGAGACTTGCTTTAACTCCCATCAAGGGGAAAACACCTTCATCAGCTGGCTGCATCTCAAGCGCCTGCAGGTACATTTCTATTTAAACCCCAGTGTCCCCAACTCTTGCAGGGATGGCAGCGGCCACTTTTTCCCTTCACAGCACAGGGGCTGAAGTCTGGCAGACTTCTGAGCAGATGCTTGTTCAAGCCAAGTGGAGACACGTTTTGTTTCTTCTTCTCCAGGCACTTCACTCATGTCCCCAACACCTAAAACTACCAAGTGTGCCCGCACACAGGCACACGCACACCTCTGGCCCCACGCCTGGGGAACAAGCCAAGGTTTCCAACAGCTCTGCTGGGGGAAAGCCACCCCCCCCCACACCAGCCACTGGAGCTGGCAGGGAAGAAACACAATGCTGCTGCAGCTGCTGAAGAAGTTAGGGGGAAGAACACAGGGGCTGAAGGTGGTCCAAAAAAAAAAAAAAAGCAAGCAGAACAATAGCGAGATGTCCTGGCTCACAAGCCCGCACTGCCTCCTTGTTCTCCTATCCATGAAGGAAGGCAGCAGAAAAACCTGGCAAGCAGGTCAGGAGCTCGCAGAAGCTTCCACACAAAAAGCAAAGCCAAGAGGGGAAGCAGGAGGAAGAAGACACGACAAAATACAGAACAGCACACAAAAAAGCCCTTTTTAGCTAAAGCTCCTGCAGAGCTTCTCACATAGATCATCTACAGCCAAGGAAGACAATTCTCTTGAATAAACCAAGCCCCACAGGGAGGCTACAGAGCTTCCCACCACAAGACACTGCTGAGAAGCAGCCCCCTCCCCCCACAAGCCATTAGGGGAGTACCACTGCGCCATTAGGGGAGTATAAAGCATCCACAACTGATACCAGACAAGCCACACACTCAAACAGCAAGGGACATTGAAGCCAGCTGGCTTCAGCCTCGAGGCTAACCAGTGACAGAGAACATGCAGGGAACTGCATCCCTGCTCTCCTCCAGCCTCTTCAAGGTAGTACAAGGCTGCCAGGAAAGAGCCATAAAAAACCCCTTTCCCAGGAGCACGTTTCCACAGCAGGTCAGACTAGCACCCAGCCTGACTAAGCCTCCTGGCCACATCCAGGTTGCCGTTCACCTGCAGACAGGACAAGCTCAACATTTGCCTCTCCTACCCACAGGAACTTATTTTCAGCCAACGCACAGCAGTAAGGTACTGCCATCTGCTTCTTCACACCAAGGGACACACACACACATTCAGTTACCACCAAGGGGGAACAGAGCCCTTGGAGCTTGCTTCCTTTGGATTCTCCCTGCTCAATATAGGCCACGCAGTCACACTTCTCATCAAGCCAGGGCCAGCCAGGTAAAGCCAATATAACACCTAGCCCAAGGGAAAAGCAGCTTTGCAGCAATGCAACTCAAAGGCCAAATGAATCTACCAGGGCACAGCTGCTTAGGGAAATACAAACAGCACCTGATCGAGTCTCCTTTGTTTTGTTGTGCTGCGTTTTTTCTTGCCCATTTATACTTTTTCAGTTGATGAAAAGCAGTCAGAATTGACTGGGTTTGCCTTTCAAAAGGCTTTCACAACTGACCCAATGTCTGAAAGCAACACCTACCCTATAACCTCACAGTGTAAACACCACTCCCTATGGGACTCTGAAGGCAGCCTCAGGAAGCAATTTCCACCCAAGCTTACAAACCCTTCTACTCTCCACAGGTAGAGCTCCCATACCCACCAGTTTTGGGCAATTATCAGCTCTACTGCAAGGCAAATTCAGATCACAAGCGTAAACTTAATATCCCGCTTTAAGAAGCTATCTGCCTTCAGGAAGATAGCGGAACACATTACCAGGATTCAAAACATGCACTTCAGAGGTATCCTGAGCATGGCTCAAGCTAGACATGAACAAACAGCTGCATGCAGCGGCTCTCCTTCACTAGGAGGGCCCATACAGCCCTGCAGCCTGGCTCACCTTCAGCAGCTTGATTTCCCGCAGAGCCATCTTTTTCACCATCGCATCATCCTCGCTTTCCAGGAACTTCTTGACGGCGACTATTTGCCCGTTGTCTTTGTTCCTGCACTTGGTCACCACCCCGTAGCTGCCTTCCCCCACGAGGCCAAGCGCCTGGTATTTCTCCATGGCCGGCACTTCCCTCTGCGGCAGGCCAAGGAGCAGGGATTAGCACAGGCCACAGCAGAGGAAAGAGGCTGTGATCTCCCGGGGGCAGCCCGGCCCTCTGCCCGCCCGGAACCCCACGCGTCGCCCGCCGCCTCCCGCTCCTCGCCCCCAGCCAGCGCTGGAAG